ATATATATATATATATATATATATATATATATATATATATATATATATATATATATATATATATATATATATATATATATATATATATATATGTCGGATGGTTTATTTTAAACCAAAAAAGGGACTTCTTCAGGCAGATTGTGAGATTATTTATTAAATTCCTCAGACGTTTCGCCGGTTAAGGCTTCATCAGTGAGTACAATAATCTGAATAATAAACTCGTCCTCTATATATACATGCATTTATCGCTTGATTGAGAATGTAAAAGCTGAAGAATGTTATTAAAAATGTTAATTTGAGTTCTAAGTTAAAAATTTTAAAATTAAGTTAAAAGAGTGATTGTTATTATATTGTTGATTGTACCATAGGATATATTAGAAGCCTGATTGTTCCAATTGGTCAAACTAGATATTGATATTACGTCCAGCACAGCCATTCATAATTCTGTCCGAATAATTCAGAATCTCAAGTGCTTCGATCACTTCATGCTCGTACCGGTAATTTATATTTAAATGGAAGATTTTCCAACTGATTGTCGACTCGTTTTGCGGTCAATATTGTGAGTTCTAAGGTGTAAATGAACTGTTTGTTTGTCCATTCGGAGATGTTCCTTTATCCGTGATCGTATTGTTCTTCCGGTTTCTCCCACATAGACCAGATTACAATGTAAACAATTAATAAGGTAGATCGCATTTTTAACCTTGCATAGATTAGTTTTAATTGCTAGATTACAAGTATCACAGTTATCGGGGCAACTTCTCTTTACGTGGAGTAAATATTTTTGATAGGGATGGTCCATTTACAAACTGTAATCTAATGTTTTAAAGTCCAGAATTTCGGACTATAGATAAGGCACGGCGCTTAAGCTATTCATTAATAAAGGGCAGCTTGAGATATACATACTTCTCGATGTTTTCGAGTTGTAGTTGGGTGTGTAATGTTTGTTGCATGACTGAGTTAATAAATTTCTTTCGGTATCCGTTACTTGCAAAGATCGATTTTATTTTACATAGTGACTTATTTCTTGATAGTGAATCGGTTGATCGGGAGATGGCTCTCCTTGTTTCTCCTATAAGTATGGATCTTTTCGAAGCTATAGAGCCGTGGCTATCCCACGGAGTGATACATTGGCTATGAATAGGATAATGTGGTTTTAAATTCATTAGTCATAGGATTGAAAGATACTAAGGTGTCAACGTATGGTAGATTATTTTGCGTAGGTAGCTTGATTGTAAATTTAATGGCATGGTTCAAGTTGTTGGCCATGGACAATAAGCTATCACTGGTAACAACTTGACCGATGCCATTAAATTTACAATCGAGCTACCTACGCAAAATAATCTACGATACCTTGACACCTTAGTATCTTTCAATTCCATGACTAATGTATTTAAAACCACATTATATGTGAAACCTATTCATAGCCAATGTATCACTCCATGGGATAGCCACGGCTCTATAGCTTCGAAAAATCCATACTTATAGGAGAAACAAGGAGAGCCATCTCCCGATCAACGGATTCACTATCAAGAAATAAGTCACTAAGTAAAACAAAATCGATCTTTGCAAGTAACGGATACCCAAAGAAATTTATTAACTCAGTCATGCAACAAACATTACACGAGTTTCACTATTCTGCGGGTTGCGGGCCGAAAAATGCGGGCTGCGGGCCGAAAAATGCGGGCTGCGGGCCGAAAAATGCGGGCTAACACGATTGCGAGCCGCGGGTATAGTTGCGGGCATGACGAATTTTTAAAAAAATATTGTCAAAATGTAAAGAAAATAACAATATTATTCAAAATTTTCTGTCTTTGAAGTATATTCTATGTCTAATAATTACAAAACTGACCGCTTTAAACATTCCTTTTTACCCGAAATGATTTCTAAAGAAAATAGTAGTGGTGCCAACCTTCCTATCCATGCCTAAACTGCGAATTTCTATTTTCATTGAAATTTGTCAATAATTTCATTAAAAATAGGTACGAAGTGCGTACATGTTGCATGCCATCAAAACCATGAAACCTCAGGACTCATAATACTATACAGAAATCCATCTCCATTGTTTTCTGCGTAAGTGCTATTCGTCATGATTCGTCACTCGGCAAGTATCGTAAACAGAAGCATTCACCCCCTGGCACAGAACAGAGACACACAGAAGGTCGACTCGAGTAACCGCTACCAGGTCTGAGCCAGTGCGCGCCCAAGAGGCATTCCCCACTGGACGTCCGCCATCTTGAATATTATCAGAGAGGGGGGGGGGATGCCTCTCAAACGCGCACCAGCCAGGACCATGGCGTCAGCATTTTGATTATAAATTATGGTCGTGCCAAAATCGGTTAGCACTATTTTCCATCCATCAAACTGACCTGATGTCATTTTCGGAAGATAGAAGAATTCTGTGCCCTGGTTATGATGCGCTACCGCTTATAACTTTTGGTACAACTGGCCTGAAACTTGAAATATCGATTCAATAAGTTTAATATCAATATATTTATTGAAAAATAGATATTATGTCAAAATAAGAAAACTTAAGATTCTCACGCGAATAGGCAATGTTTTTATGAGTGACTGTTCATCGTTAGTTGCAAACGACGGTAATATAAACAAGGTCAAGGTTTTATCGAAAGCGATTGACTGTTAGATTTCCTTTTATACTATTTTATAACTACATAATGTTATTTCCTACAAATTTAGCTTTATTGTAGCTTTATTGAAAGTATAAAAAAACATGGAAACGGCGAAATACTATAGATTGAAAATAATTATAAAGGGAACGGTCATTAATTATGGGGGGGGGGAGGGCTGGTGCAAAATGGGGGAGGGTCACTAATTTTCATGCAAGGGAAAAGGGGGTGGGGGTCATGTAAATTCGTGCAAGAAAAAACAAAGCAAATTTTTTTAATTGATGACATTTTTAATAAACAAGAATACCTAAAAAAGCAGGACAGTTATTATTTTATTAAAGTAAATTGGATCTTTTGGTTCATTGATTCCTTGTTCAAGTAACAGTGTAACACAAGCATGCCTGGCTATTTTAAATACAATGATAAACGTGAATCCTCTAGGTGTTCGTTCATTTTACTGTTTTGGCTTTGTCATATATATAGGATCGAGACGGTAATTTATGATAATTTATGTAAGTGCCCGGATGTGTTAGGGGCAGTTGTTTATTCCATGTGCTTGGTCATATACAATATATAGTTTGTAGTTTTTTTTTGTACGTGGAAGTGGCCTAAATACGAGGTAAAACATTTGAGTTATGACTTTTTTGCTTGGGATAAGTATAGATTGTGATGAACCTTTATTGTTTATTTAGAACCATCATCATCGTTTATCGATTTATATCATTCGTTCATTGACATTGTAGAAATAAATATATTTGATCGATTGTGTGTTGTTTTTTGCGTCTTTGATGTGTCTCTCGTTGGTCACATAAGCTGGGAATCGTTTATAGCTTATATAGTTCTCGTATTCGACGATTATTTCAACTGATCAACGCTATGACAAAAAAGAGAAAGTCTCGAGCCAGGAAATCTAGTGTTTCGAACGAGGTTTCGAAGTCACAGACGTCGCCGGCAGACCATGAATTAAGTCCTACTTCGCAAGCCAATCAAGTAGAGTCTGAGGAAGAACAGTCAGACAATGCAAACGTTTTAGAATCTCAAAATTCACCTGTATTTGTGAGGGATAACAATGTCGATCAGTCCGAAAATACGACGGATGTTGTTCAATTGCAAAGCCCATTATCTGTCGCTTCTGGCGAGGCTACGACGAGTTTTGCTTCAAGAGAAGGGCAAATAGATCAAGAACAAAGACAGCTTGAGGTGGGTCTGTGTCAAATTGCTTCTTTTTCGAAGAAAAACCCAGTTTTATCGCCTTTAGCAGCTGTTTTTGAGTCTAACATTAATAAAATTCGCGATAAAAACACGGAAAATTTATCGACACGCGTGGGCGCCACGCAAAGTATTTCCGCGCGTGATAATATTCGTGAAGCGAACACGGTCGAACAAACACGCGTGAAACCCACGCGCAGCGATCCCGCGAGGGAAAATAACGCTCGGTTAGTGAATTATGAGGAAAATGGGGCTGGGGCATCGAGTTCATTTGATTCAATGTGGGCAGAAAGATGGCGCGAACTGGAAGAAATAGAAAACGCGCGTAGAAAGGAACTAGATAAACAAATGCATGATGCAAAACTTAAATTAGAAATGGAAATGAATCGAGCTAAAGCAGAGCATGAAATACTAGTGAAGCGAAGGGAAATAGAGCGACAACAAGCCGAATTACGTCAGTTAGAAGAAATGTATGGTGCTAGTACCAGGCCCCTACAAAGAGATAAGGATAGCAGAAGTGACAATGGCAATGTTATCGATTATCATAGTC